TTTTCTCCAGATTAAGCTCTCAAAACAAATAATTTACAATTTCTTGATCAGACTCTACTTGAGCTGGCCAGAAAAAGCCCAAAACAAAACCTACAACAAAAGCGGACACAAAAAAACCAAGCAAAAAACCCCCAAGAAATCACTCATTGTTCCCACTTACAATCACATTTTAATTTAAAATTAAACATCCAAACTCAGGATTTAATATTAGCCAGTTGTCAACAGTTTAACACGCTTAGTCCAGCTGTCAGATTCAACATGTGGAGCTGTACCAACATCTGGCCCTCACAGTTCCACCCAGTGCTACCCCTGTTCCACGTGCAAACATTCCACAGAACACTGACACACGCACTGCAGTGAGAATCTCTGTCATACCAATTTTTTTTCTCCAGACTGCCTTAACTAGGAAAGTGTTTGCAAACTACAGAAGAACAACATGGAAGCAAAGACGCTGCATGTGGCTTAACAAGGAATAACCTTTGGAAAATCATTCAGATGAAGAATTATTTATAGCTTTCCTTAACTGCTATACCCAGTTCACTTTGGAGCTCAGTAGCATTTACAGAAGATGAGCAATACCATCATCAGTAAAAAGCTTAACTCTGGTCTTGAGACTTGCCAGAAGACAACTCCGCAACATGAGAACCAATATGGTCTAAATTTGGCTTGGGTTGTAGATCTGAAAAATAACTCAAACACTTGCAGGAATCAATTGCCACAACTCCACTGCTAAAGGCACAGAAGTTTTGGTGGCCCGTCTGGTCTCCTTGCTCAGGCTGAACCTGAGCACATACCTGGAACTTGGCTTGGCTTTTCCATGAATGCCTAGAGGAACATCCCACCCATGGGCTGTTCTGGGTGGCACCCTTCCCTCAGGGGGCACAGGGACACCTGGCAACCTAAACATTTGTTCTTGTGACAATGCTAGCTGCTGATCATCATCCACAGTCTTTCCCAGGGGGTCCTCCCTTGTCAGATGCTGAAGTTGTGTTTGATCTAATAGGAAGTGATGCCCTCCTACCACCAGGAAAGAATAACACCTGGAACAGCTGAGTGTGCAGCCACAGTTTGTTTCCATGCTGCATTACAAGTACTAAGCCTTGCTACTGCCCTGCCTAGGTAAGCTCATTATTATTATTTTGTGTTTGGTTCACAGAGACAGCCAAAGTGATCATTTTCAGAAGTCCTGGATTTTGAGTTGCTGGTTCCCCAGGGATGCCCTGCTCAAGGCAGCGAACTACAAATATTCCACAACAAGCACATGCAAAAAAAAAACCCCAAAAACAAATTATCCAATTTTTGGATTGTAGGTCAGAACTACATGACTGGCTAAAAACACAGGTTGCCTTAGGGAGAGCCCTTTGCCATAGCCAGCACTTTATTAGGAAAGCTTTAGTCAGAAGACTTCAGAAGACACATACTCAAGAACCCAGATAACTTTTCTAAAAGGCAGAAACGTCACTTCTGTGTAGCTAGACAAGATTTCATCTCCTGCTTATCATAATTTTTATCAGCAGAGCACCACTCAGCCACCTCCCTCCAAAAGACACTTCGGGATGCATATAACTTATCATTAAAGTATACTCTGTTTCACTGGGGCACTTCAGATTCAAGGTTCTGGTTTAATGGGTTGCTTCTCAGGAAACTGCCCTCACCTGTAGTGACACAACGAATACTAATGACTGGTGTTTAATTGGGGCAGTGCTAGTGAAATTTTGCTTCAGAGGGATTCAATTTGGGTGGTGCCAAGGAGTTAAGTGATTGATCAGGTATTTAGTATGTAATAGAATGTACTTCTAAACATCGGTCTTCTACCTACACCCACTGAGCTTAATGAGTTCTGCCATTGGCAGTACCAGAAGGATCCTCCTCCTAGTAAACAAGTTAATAGTAAACAATACTCGGCACTAACAGACACTCAGCCCTGGATAAGGGTAACAGGATTCTGGCATCTGTGTGATGCTTAACAGTCCCTCAGCATGAGAAGTCTTCAGTGGGAGAGGGCTCCTTGCAAAAACAGCATCAGTGAAGTATTAGGAGACACGACCCCTTAGCTAAAAATTAAGTCAATCAGGGGAAGCCAGCTAAGATTGAAAGCTCAGACGCTTTGCTGACTCTTTGCCCTTCGGCTTTTTTTTTTTTCCCCTCTCCCTTTTTTTAAAACGATTACAAAGTACATCCTCCAATCCAAAATGAGCACCCGTGAGACAAGTCCTCGAGCTACAGGTTTCTGTGCTGACACTCCTGCAGCCACCACACAGAGGCCAACACAAAAGAAAGTGCCTATATCCACAAGTGTGCATCTAGAAAAAAATCTCTCCTGACACCAGCTGTGAAATCTGAAGCGCAGTCAGGCTCTGTGCCTTCACTGCTGCCCACAGAAAGCACTCTCAGCTCAAGCATCAGCCAGGTGGCACACAAGGGAGCCTGGGCTCAGACAAGCCCTGGTCTGGGAGGCCTGATGCAGCTGATCTCCCCCCATATTCCCAGGTTTTAGTTTCGCCACAACTCCACCTTTGCAAAATGTTTACGCTCTCCTGGTGGCTCAGTTCTCCCATCTGTGGGAGGAGAGGTGAGGCCAAAAGGATCACTTGCCAATACTGTAACGAGTGCCAACGCTGTGGTAGTGTTTACAACAATATAATCAGCTAACTACTATGGCTTGGGATCAGAGGAACAGGTTTGCTACCAACATAGATATTCCAACAACTGGGGGGAAAAAAGTGTCTGAATATGACAACCACATCAAATACCCCCTCTCAACCCACCCCCCAGTCAAAGCTTCAGACCCTCTTGGAGTCCACCACAGCCCCAAAGCCTGTCAATTCATGCAGAGAGTACACTGATGCCCTAACTCAGAGAAAGGAGTTGGTAAGAACCTGGGGTATAAGCAAAGCACTGGCCTCAACTCTTTCCTGCAGCTTTCCGTGGTTCATCATCCCAGGTGCTATGGCATCTACTGCATGCACCCCCGTCCCACAGCGGAGGAGGAAGAGGAGAAAAAAAATCCAAGCAAAAGAACAACAAAACAATACATTCGCCAGCACCACTGCTTCCAGTTCACAAGCTCCTCCTGACACCCTTGTAGCACAGTAGTTTGAAAAGCTGAAGTGAAAGTCACCCAGAATGGTTTTGACTAGTGAAGAAATGCTTTCATTTGAAGTTCACGTTTCTGCCTGAAAAGTTGTACTTTCTTTATTTGAAATTATCAAAATAGCCACCAGAGAAGCCAGGAACAGTAGTTTCTGTCCTCTGACAAGATAATTGGAAGGGTCTGCATGTCAACTGCACATAAACAAACTAGACATGAACGAATTACAGTAAGTTCAGATCATTATGCTTAGCATTGGCCACTTTAAAAAAAAAATCAGTTTTCCAATATCTGTCTAAACGTAATAAGAAAACTTGGCATTTATTCATTACAAGACTGAAGCAGAAGTTTGCTTGTATCTCTCCTGCCAGGTAGCTGATTTCTTACAGTATGATTCTATAATGTACCTTACTGCAGCTAGGGAAGAACCAGTTTTACACTTCCTGAAATCAAACGCAGAATTTCTCTCGACTTCAGTGAGAGCAGAAGTAAACCTTGTATTTTCGAAATGACACGCTGAAAACAAGGAAATACAACTAACATGACACCACGTTTTCATGACATTCATTTGTGTTCTTCCAGAGAACACATTCTACCTTTCCACAGGGTTTACTAAGAAGAAAAAAAAAAGAGAACTCGTAGTTATATCTCATTTTATATATCCAGGAATTCAGTGAGTCAATTGCCCACGTTTTGCCTGCATTAGCATTTCACCGTCCTGTAACGCGCATACAATACCCCATTATCCAATTTGTCCGTCTGTGCCATGAAAAGTCAAACGAGACTCTGAGCCACGAGACTTCACGGGATACAGGCCTGACTGCACTGAACTCAGCGAGAGAAAATACACCCAGAAGCTTTCAAATTGTGTTCGTACCATACAGAATGCAAGACTCCCCCGAACGCACACCCGACAAGCGAACAAAAGAGCATCGCGCCGAATAAGTGTTTATTCCAGGCTCTTCCCCTTAGACAGAGTCTGGAAATCATCTCTTCCTTCCAGAGTGGGAGAGACAACCAGGAAAGATCTCTCAGGCAGAATTAGTCAGGAGCAGAAGGCAGACTCCCCGGCTTGCCATAAGGCAAAGTGTCTCCTAAATAAAACACAAAACTGAGGGGTGAGGAAGAGAGGAAAGCACTATTTCCAGTGGGCTACTAGATGGGAAGGGTCTGGACAAAAATGGAAACTCAGTTTTGCTTCCATTGTCTCAGCTTCATGCTGCCTCCACTTTAAACAAGAAACTTCACGGGGATACCCCCTTCTTCAACAGGCCAAGGCTCGGAGAAACACATTCTCCAGCCCCTGGGAGAGAGGGCCGGGCTGCGCACTCCCAGCTCCCCTACCTGCCGGCCAGCAAGTGATGCCAGTAACTGCGGCGCCTAAAAATACATAATACTTATATAGGTATCCAGAAAAAAATTAAAATAAAAAAAAAAAAAAAGAGAGAGAAAGAGAGCCCTACAACCCACTGCTGTTGGGAGGAGCAGCAGCGGCTGCATCTCCCCGGACGGCAGAAAACTTTCTCCGAAGTTGCTGGCGGAAAAGGCGGGTAGGCAGCGCCGGGAGAGGCCGGCTCTGGCTCCGGGGCTCCCTTTCGAGCTCCCCCGCCGTGAAAGAACCACGGGGCCGTGTGCCCCGGGGCCGAGCCGGGCGCTGACAGCCGCCGGGAGCCGCGGCGGGACCGGCGTGGGGAGCGCCCCGCTCCGCGCCCGCGAACGCGGGGGGAAGGGGGCACCGACCCGCCGGCCCCGCACTGAAACCGCGCGGGGGGAAACAGGGGAGACGAGAACAGTTATTGTCATCAAAACAACCCCCGGGCAAGAACACGGCGAAAAATCCACCGCCCCGAGGCGCCGGCGGGAGCGAGCGGCGCTGACAGGGGGCCGGACAGAGGGACGGGGCTCTTACCTTGATGCAACACTGAGCAGGAGTCTCGGACATCTCTCAGGGGGGACTCCGCGGAGCCCGGCGGGGCCAGGCGCACACGGGCAGACGGGAAGTTCTCGGGCTTTCCCCCCCACTTTGCGCGCTCCCCTCCCGGCCCGGCGGCGCGGCGCGGCGCGGCCCGGCCCGGTCCAGCCCCCTCAAGGGGGAGTTCCCGCCGGCAGCGCGGCCGGGGCTGGGGCTGGGGGGGCCGCCCCGCCGCCCCTCAGGGCCGGCTCCGCTCCTCGCTCCGCCGCCGCCGCCCCCCGCGCGCGCCTCTGCCCCGCGCGCTCCTCTCCGCCCGCGCGGCTCCGCGTGAGGCGATGCGCGCGCGCGCGCGCGAGGGAAGGGCGGGGGGGGGGGCGCGCGCAGAAGGTGGGGGGGAGGGCGCGGCCCCGATCCCCGCCGGTGTTTTCCTTCCTGGAAAAGAGGGAAACCGAAAGGCGGCAGCGGGGGCCGGGCCGGGCCGGGCCGGGCCGGGCCGGGCGTCACGCCCCGCCCCGCGACACCGCTCATTGATCCGGAGTTTGGGGGCCGAGCCTGACGTGGGTTCCCGGCACCCGCACCGCCCCTTAAAGGGGCCGCGCCCGGCGGGAACGGCCGCGGACGGCGGGGACGGTGTGGGCCGGGGCCGCACGGGCGGGCCGGGAATGCGGCTCGCTCTGACCGGCGCTCTGGGGTGCCGATGCGGGCCGGTCCGAGCGGAGGCGAGGCCAGAAGGGCGCAGTGGGGGCCGTGCCGCTCTACAGAAGCGTTTGACCCCACGCGGTGCCGCCGCCCCCGCCGGAGTTCGCGTGGGGCCTTTCAGCCTCTCCCGCTGGTCCCGGGGCGGGCAGCGGGTGGATGTGGGTGGATGTGGCCGCGGGCGGACCCGCGGCAGCGCTGCGAGCCTTGTTTCGCCGCCAGGGCCGCCGCTTTAAGAGCCCCGGCCAGGAAATGCGGCGCGGGTCACGGCGGGGCACGGGAAGGCCTCGGAGGCGCCGCCACCCCGTTTACCCAGCCCGGCCTGGCCCGGTCCAGTCCCCGCCGCCCCGGGGGCGCTGCCTGCGCTCAGACCCCGGCGGAGCTGGTGTGTCGCCCGCCGCGTGTGGGACACGCAGGACTGTGTGTGATTTCCAGCCCTGTTGGTGTTGACGCTGTTTTCCATCACCCCCTGGCTTCCGGACACTGCAGCCCCAGCCCTCGTGACGAGAGTGAAAAGGGTGGGGGGAAAGGTGAAAAAATACCTCGGTCATATCTTCGTCTAAATCTCTTTGTGATTTTACAGGCAGTTTTTGGTGTCCTGGCTGTTGTTTTTTGGATGTACCCACTCACTGCAAGTCCTGAACGTGCCTGGGAGCAGATGACTGCTTTGTACCCACCGCAAGGCAGAACTGCCTCAGGAGTCTGCTGTAAGGATGCTGTTACTCGATTTGAATCTCCCCTGTCTCAGTTTAAGGCCATTTCCTCCAGTCCTCTCACTGTAGTTATAGTAGAGGAGACTGGCCCCCACCTCATTACAGCCTTCTCTCATGTTGTGAAGAGCAAGGAGGAAGACCTCTGGAGCCTCCTCTTTCCAAGACTACAGACACAGCTCCCTTAGCCATTCCTCATGAGACATGTTTTATACACCCTTTAGGCCCTTCTCTGGACATGCTCTAGCACCTCAATGTCCTTTTTAAAGTGAGGTGCAACCTCACCAATGCTGAGTATAGGGGGACGATACAATGCCTCTCTTTCTCCCCTCTTATCCTTTCTGCTTCATCACCGTGACATGTTGCCTTTTTACTTGCACAATTACCACTGGCTTCCCCCAAGGGCTGAGTTACTGTTCTCTGTCTCATGGCAAGTTGGGAGGTTTTGTGTTTCCTTATATGTTAAATATAGAAATTCAATGTGGACAAGTCCTGTTAGGTCGTCTACTCTGCTCCTCTGCTGGTACAGGATTTACATTTTAAATGCCTCAGGTAATGGGGCTTCCACCACTTTCTTTTGGAGTCCGCTTCACAGTCCAGAAAGTCCCATGGTCAGGACTTATATTTTCACTTGTTCAGTTTCAGCCAGTTACTCCTGCTTTTAGCCATGTTTTGTACTCCCCTAAGTAGCTTTTCTCATCTCTGTCCGTTTGTGTCTTACACACAGGTATGGCTATTTTCCAAGCCATTGCTACTCTTTTTATCTCCTTTCATTAACCAGTCCCTGCAGCCACTTCAGTATTGGTCTTCTTTGATCCCATTCAATTGGACAGTTCCTCAGTCCATGGATGTCCACATTTAGGGCCTCATCGTCTGTGAATGCAGCCAAAACCCCATCGCAGTTTCATTTGTCTCAAAGTCGCCTCAAAGTTTGCATGAAATTTATCACCTGACATTGCTCTGAATCTGATCTTTTCCTGTTATTCCCCAGTGTTCCCTCTTGCAGTGCAACTGCAATCTGGTTTTCATTTTTCTGCCTGGAGTTTCAGCATCTGTTCCCTCTGGGGTCACTGATAGCTGCTCTTCCTCACAATTTATTTAATGGTCCTTACAAATACAGGCCTTGATCCCTCTCTGCAGACCTCTCAACCCGTGTGGATGGTTGCAAGTATCTGTCCAAGACCACGACCTGTTTTAGAGCTATTGTCTTCCAGCTCCTTCTGTTCTTTGTTTTTTTTTTCACTACTCCACTAAATGTGAATGCAAAGGGTGGTACCTAGAAGAGGTAGGGAGAGAAATGGTGAATGTGTAGAGGAGGCCACAAGGAGGACCAAACTCTTTGTAATGTGTTAGCTTTTCTGCTTGGTTCTGCCCTTGTTTCTCTGACCTGATTTCTTCCAGTCTCCCTCATTAATTCCATCTCTTGAGACCTGAGATTATATGGTCCTGGCTGCTGCTCTGTGCAGAAAAAAACCACCACCAAATCTCCTGGTGTGCAGAGCGTCCATGGTTGCAGGACAGTGGTTCTGAAAAAGTGAAACTTCTCCAGCTCCCCTTTAGATCTGCACGACATGCAGGTCCATTATCTCTTGAACAGGCTCCTGGTTAGTTCCCTTCACTCTCACCTAGAAGCTACTGCTTAGCTTATCTTCATGGAGGACCCGTTAAAAGCAGGATTTACAATTCAATAGAGCCACCTGTCATCAACGCCCTTTCCAGAATTCCCCTTTTTGTTCAAAGAGATACCAGCAACACTAATACCGGACAAAGGTACCATGGCCTTAGGGCTTCCCCAGGGAGGGGGGTTGAGTGGCATGCTGGGGGACGGCAGCAGGATGAGAAAACCAATAGACTGGAGTATGTTCTTTCTCCTCATAGTGACCTGAAAAAGCTGGCTTTAGATGCTTGCATTTTCTGGTCTAAAGTTTGTCTCTGAAAACAGAGTGAACCCTGAAGTAAAAGAGGCAAACCCCCTCCGATCCCCCCCCCCTCCCTTCCAAACACCCCCTCCGGGCCCTGTCCCGAGGGGGATGGGGGGGATTGGAGGGGGAAAAGTTCCCACCCCCCAGAGGGGGATCCAGGGGGGGCGCCAGCTCCGGCTATCGCGGCTTTATTAAAGCGGTGTCCCCGACCCCGCGGCTGCGGGGACACGGGCACGGGGGACAGGGGGACGGAGGGGTGGGGGTGTGCGGCGGAGCATGGAGGTGGGAGGAGAGGGAGGCCGGAGAAGCCGGGGTGTGCAGGAGGGCAGCGAGAGGGGACAGGGGGAGGCGGCGTGCGGAGACAGCCAGGGCGGAGGAAGCAGGGGAGGAAGGGTCGGGGTGTGCGGCAGGGGATGGAGAGGGAGCAGGACCAGGCGGGGTGAAGGGCCAGGGAGGGCGGAGGAGCAGGAACGAGGGCTGGGGGGGCCGGGCTGCCCCTGCGGGCAGGGACGGGACGTAGGGGACGACCGGGCTGGAGAGGGAGAGAGGAAGGGAGGGGACGAAGGAAAGGGGAAAGAGTAAAAGAACAGATAAAAGTAAAAACAAAAGTAAAAACAAAAGTAAAGAAAAAGCCGCGGCAGCGAGAGGCCTCCACGGCGATGCTGCTCCCGCGCACTGCCCGAGCTAGCACTGAGGGAGGCGAGTGAGTTCCGGCGATTAAATCCCCCCTCCCCGCCCCGCCCCGCGCACCTGTGCGGGCCCCGCCCCGCTCACATGGTCGGGTCCCGCCCCGGCCCTGCCGCTCAGAACCGGCAGAGCCGCGCCCGCCCGGCTGGTGGGGAGGATGCTCGTCCCGGGGCGCGGATGGACCGACCGGCGCTCGGGGCCGGAGCCACGGCCCGGGGGCTGCTCCCGGCGCTGTGCTGAACCTGGGCCGCTGAGCGGGACCGGCACCGGAGGAGCGAGGCTGAGGATGGGGCTCGGCATCAGGACGAGGATCGGGACCAGGATCGGCGCCTCTGCCCCGCCGCGGGCGGGAGGAGCTGCTCCGGGGTGGTCGCTGGGACTGAGCCCCTCGGGCTGGGGCTCTGCCTGGGCCCGGGTACGGGAGAATGGCGACACTTTCCTCGGGCAGAAGCTGAGCCGGGGCTGGGACCGGCCGGGCCGCAGGGACGCGATGGGCCGGCCCCAGGACCCCCCGGCCCTGCAGTGCTGCCCGCACCCCCAGCGGGGTCGGAGCCCCCCCCCCTGCTCGGATACCCCCGAGACCACTGCATCTCCCCCCCGAGAGAACATCGACCACCTGCCCCTTCCCTGCGACCCCAGCCCCAGTGGGTTCCCGCCCGAGGGGAGCCTGGGCTGTGCCGGGGCAGGGAAGAACGGTGGCGGCCCTTTTCTCCTTCCTCCTGTGCTCCGGGACCCTGAGCAGAGCTGCCAGTCTGCCCCAGGAGCTGGCGCTGACAGTGCTGCGGGTGGGGCACAGGCTGGTCCCAGCTCTGCCTTTGGAACGTCTGGAATTTCCAACAGCAATTCTTTTCCCTTCGATCCAGAAGGCGCAGCTCATCTGACAGCTGCCAGGTGAGACCTGAGGCTCTCCTTCCTCTCCCCCACTTTCTCTGTAACTCGCACCCTCTCGTGGCAAACCCCTCTGGTTTTTAAAAATCCAGTTGAAACATTTAATCTTTATTTGCAGATGGGGAAGGTCCTGCCTGGGAGGTAAACGGCGACAGGAGAGGAAACCAAAAAATACTCCAACCTGCTGCACAAGTCAAAGGAGGCAAGGACTGCAGGGAAACCCTGTCAGGAAATCCACGTTTATTAAATCTCTGCAGCTCCCTCT